ATTGCACATATATAGGCCGTTCAGATTACTTGTTAAAATGCAATGAAATACCTTATATCAGCAGACGATGCACGTCTGTGTTTGTGGTTGGAGACTCCTTCACCGGTTACAGGCTCTAATCCTCATTTGCGCGACTGTGGAATGCGGTGCTGAAGTGAAATAGCGGGGCAATTTGATAATAATAGCCGAATTATAATAGGCTGCCTAATAATAATAATAATAATAATTTAATACATTTATAGGAGAATGATCCTAATATCGTCTTGACTATCGACAAAGACGTGACGAGTACGAGTACAGGAGCTCAGTATCGGGCCCGATACCGATACCAGTATCAGTATCAGTGCATCCCTAATTAAAATAAATACAATTATATCGGCTTTATATCGGCCATCAGCCACCCTGCTTTCCAAGATATCGGCATCGGCTGTCAAAAAAACAATATCGGTCGACCACTAATTTGGAGTAAAGTTAAATTGAACGATATATCAGTCGTACAACGAGCCCGACGCACCGCCTCCGAAACAAGGATGAGATGCGTTCTAACATAACTGTGGCGTTAAACTCAGTTTCCTAATATCGTCTTGACTATCGACAAAGACGTGCTATTGTCGATATCTCTGACTATTGTCGATACACGATACTAGTGCTGGGCGGTATACCGGTTCATACCGAATACTGGTGTCGCCATGTTCCGTGAAACCGGTATAATTTTGAAAAATACCGTGATATAAATTTTTGGTCATACCGCCCAGCACTACACGATACTATCGTCTATCGGCACAACCCTAACTCACATGCTCTGATAATAGGCCTAATAGCATTGTAGGACAATGCATTATTTGGATAATTAGTTGTATCTGATTCTGTTGCATAAAACTGAATAAAAATAATATATTGATATTTAATATATTTTCTGTCCAATTTTGTGTTACTTTCAATAAGAGATGTTATTTTATTGGCATGTGTTTTTTTTTTTTATTATCCAGTATCATTAAAGTTATTGAGTTAAATTAAAAAGTCTTACAAAATTACTTTATATTACTTAATAAAATAATAAATATTTATTACAAAGCATTTTCAGTTTTCGGCCAAGTGTATCCAGAATTTTTGGTTTCCGTTTCGGCCCAGAATTTTCATTTCGCTGCATCCCTGGTTGTCAGAAACCAGTTTCAAGAGCTGCTAGTTACTTAGCTCACTGACTAATCTGTTTTTAAAATGTGTAATGATTCCTGTGTCTGTCCACATCACAATAGACACTGCCCTTTGAGTTGATATTCTCAGATAGTACCGTTACCTCTCTAGCCATAAAATACAGTTTGGGAAAGAAGCTCCCAGGTGATTTAGTACAGGAAAACTCACAGGGATTGGGCTATAAATTAGTCTTTGGGAGAGGGCGAGCGTTTTTTAATTTATGGAGCGCAGCAGATGCTGCCTGGATGTGTTTCTGAGGCAGGAGACCGCTCTGATGGGTTTTCTGCTGCTGGCAGATTGAGCTGATGTGATGAACTTCCTCTCTGGGGGATTGGAGCGGGAAAGTAACACCCTGTTTGTTACTCAAATTAGGTTTTTTTTAAACATAGGTTTTGTCTTAGTTTGTCTTTTGATGAATAAGTCCTTTAAATTTAGTAAATATGTTGTTATTTGTAGTCAATTTAAAATACATATAATTCTTATAGATAAAAACAAATTTAATAATATATTAATTGAAACTTCTACCAAATATATTTTAATCAACATAAAGTATAAACAACTTTATAGAAGTTACTGTGTTGTGTATTCTTCCACAGAGATGGTTAAGTTTCTGTGTTTTAGCGACCATTTAGGATATTGCATTATATTTAGCATGCAGTGTTGTGGCAGTGGCACATTCATAACGAGAGCTGCATGTTTTACTTACTGTGTGTTAGGGCTGCATGATTATGCCAAAAATCATAATGGTCAATTATTACCTTGAAATTGTAATTGCGATTATTACGATTATCATTATTTACACTGAAGCAGCTGCATGCCATATTTTTAGATGAAAATAAACAAAACACTCAAACTGAAAAAAACTTTTTGCTTTTCTATAGTATTAAGCCTCAAATGTCAACTTCATTTGATTGGTTTCTTCTTTAACTAAAAAAAGCTAAAATATGCATGGTATTATGTTATACTAAAACTAAAATTAAAGCAATGGAAAAACCCTTCCATTAACCCATAGAAAGAAAACAACACATCTTAAGCACATAACATAAGTGGACTTTGAACTATTAATTGCCGCTTTGAATGATTACGTAATTGTGGCATCCGTAATTTTAATCACGATTAGAAATTCGATTAATTGTGCAGCCCTACTTTGTGTGCAGATGTAGGTTGTGATAATACATATTCATGCATCTTTATTATTAATGTTTTGCTATATTATATTTTTCTTGTCAAATTTTCATAAACGGTACATACTGTTGAAAATTTGGAGGTTGGTAAGAGTTTTTATGTTTTTTTTTTAAAGAAGTCTGTTAATGCTCACCAAGTCTGCATTTATTTGAGAAAAATACAGTAAAAACAGAAATATAGTGAAATATTATTACATTTGGAAATAACTATTTGAGAATATTTTAAAATGTAATTTATTCCTGTGATGGCCAAGATGGATTTTCAGCATCATTACTCCAGTCTTCCCTGTCACATGATTCTTCAGAAATCATTCTAATATACTGATTTCGTGCTCAAGAAACTTTTTTTTCTTATTATTATTATTAATGTTTATAAACAGCTTTCCTTCTTAATATTTTTGTGGAAGCTGTTAAACATTTTCTCATTTCCTTTGATGAATATAAAGTTCAAAAGAACAGTTTTAGTTTGCATGATAGGACTTGGTGTTATGATCCCAATATTCAGCACCATTTAGCCGCACCATAGAACATTTTCTCCTTCGCTGTGAGCAGAACACAGCGAGACGCAGCAATTGTTACGCTCTGATTTTGGTTCAGCAAGAACCCAGGATCATGACCTAATCCATGTCCGTGGTTCTTGCCTCAATACCCAATCTTTTTTTTTTTCACCTTATCTTCATTATCATAGACATTCTAAAGCCTAATTTTCGTCAGTAATTATAGGCAATCCACGCCTAGTTGATTTTGGGGGAGAAAAAAAATATATATATATATTTTTGCATACCAATCCTTGTTGTCTCTTAAATCGAGGAGTTTTCTGTAAAATCAATTTGAAAATCAAAATCTGTAGAGTCAATGTTTTGTTACTGCCCATTTTTGAAGGAATTACTGAGATGTAACATTTATTCTAATTTAATAATCATCTGTGGCTTTTTTAAAAAAATTCTCAAAGCAGATGTCTCAGACCAGACTGTGTGGCAATCTTATTGACCAATAACGTAACTCAGTGCGTGATTGTGCACCCTGGGAATATCTGCAGCCTGTGGGAATGAATATGACATCTTCAGCCGTGAGCTATGAGTAATCAATAAAGAACTCGCTCTTGCTTTATACCAGGGCTGTCCAAACTCGGTCCTGGAGGGCCAGTGTCCTGCAGAGTTTAGCTCCAACCCTAATTAAACACACCTGAACCAGCTAATCAAGCTTTTTCTAGGCATAGAAACTTCCAGTCAGGTGTGTTGAGGCCAGTTGGAGCTAAACTCTGCAGGACACCGGCCCTCCAGGACCGAGTTTGGACAGCCCTGCTTTATACGCTCTACATCACCTGATTGTGACGCAGAATCCTTCAGATTGGTGAAGTCTGGGAACTTTTTTTCCTCCTCCTCCATAAAGGTCATCTGCCAGTCGGGATATGCATCAACGTCGTCCTCATGTTTACTCATTACATTTTCACAGGGGTTTCATTTCAGCCCCTGTGGGCAAGGAAGTCAACGCTCCATCAAAATTGGACCATGTTGCTGCACCGTCACTGCCTGTTTCAACATTGAAGTGCCATTCAGTGATTAACCTCTGCTCTGTTTTCTCAGGGTGCTCACGTGTGCATGTGCAAATCAGTTTTGTCCTTAGTCAAGTTGGAAATATCTCTATTAGTGTAATTGATTATTTTCCCTGGAGCTCCGGCATGGAATTTTGTAGCCACAAGGTTCATGGCATGGTTTTTTGTCGAAGCTGTGGTAAAATAAATGAGTGCCCTTAAATTAATCATTGTGCACTGAATTTGCAGCAGGAAAGGCTTTAAACCAACAGCAAGAGTTTGTATGTAGGTTTTCAGGATTTACAGTCACTTCTCAAAGCTTGGAAAGCAAATCCTCGAAAGAGACGACAAGGAAGATAAGGAAACTTGGACTTTTTACACCCATGTGTGGTTTTGGCTGAGGGCACAGAGTTTAGTTTTGGAGCAATAACTGGGTAAATTTGTCTATGCTTGCCGCCTCCAACAGTACGGCTACAATTGTTGAGTCACATGCAGCAGGATTAATTCATCTTTTTGGCACGATAGTCCCTCAAGATTAACAAATCCTATTCCATGTTGAGTTTTCAATTAAACTAATCGCTCTGTCTGTCTGAGAACTTGATTTACGAGCATGAGACAATTTAACAAATGAGCTTTGGCAGTCCTTTCCCAATTTCATAGCTGTATGTTGGAAATTTACTAGCTTCGAGGAGGTTGCCGTGGAGAGGGTGTGGAAGTTGTTCCCGAGATGCTTTGCATACAAAGGGAGAGATAAGTAGTAGCCGAGACGTTAAAATTCTTAATAGCAGGTTACCTGACATTTCCATCCTGTGACTCAGCCAAATGGTTCTTGTTAACTGTTGATTCCATCACCGTCTGTTATTTTGGAATCAGTGACGCACATTACCGGTGGCATTTGCATAGAAGTCCCTGAAAGACGTCTTTTGACCTTTAGTCATTTCTAAACAAACTGTCATAAAAAAATAAAAAACAGAATTGTTTAGCTGTGCTGCACATATACTGATGCCCATATGTTTTTAATGGTTTTTATGCTACTTCAAGGTGACCATTATGGATACTGGAGTGAGAGGGACAATTGCTGTTGGGCTGGTTCCCCAGTATTACAAACTTGACCATCAGCCTGGCTGGCTTCCACATTCAATAGCTTACCATGCCGATGATGGAAAGTAAGTTTTTTTTTTTTTTGACTCATTGTCTTTTACTTGTGTTTAAATATGTAAGGTATTTTAATACCTTAATCAACAACGTGTTTTTTGTCAACTTTGCTTTGTTGGTTGCCTGGCGGAATTTTTTGATTCAGGGTCACTTCTTCTTTCCATGATCCTTTCCAGTTACAAGTCATTGATGGCTCTATCTCTCCTCTTCACAGAATGTACAACGGCAACCCTGTTGGTCAGCAGTTTGGTCCTAAATGTAACCGTGGTGACCGGATCGGTTGCGGTATCTATGCAGACACTTTCGATGCCGGACTTGTCACTGTGTTTTTCACAAAGAATGGAAAGGAGGTGAGTCTCAATGCCTTGGTACCGAATTTACACCAGTCACCAATTTACAGAAATACTAATGCAAATTCTTAGTGTATTGCTGATGAACACTGCTGTTGAAATGTATAGAGTCAGTAAGACTCTTAAATTGTCACAAAAAATCTTAAAAAGAATGCTAATAAATGCAATTCATCAATCTTGAAAAAAGTATCACAGTTCCTGTTTTCAACATAATAATAATAAGAAATGTTGAATGAGCACCAAATCAACATATTAGAATGATTTCTGAAGGATCATTTGACATTGAAGACTCGACTGTTCTTTTTACTGTATTTTTGATACAATAAATGCAGCCTTGGTGAGCAAAAGAGACTTCTTTTAAAAACATTAAAAATCTTACTGACCCCAAACTTTTGAATGGTAGTTATGTTGACTGTTTTAAATGTCAATGAAATGACATTTATAGACAATTTAGGTAAAAATTAATTTAGGACTTATCTAAGTTTAAAGCTTCTAAACATCCCTTTAATTCTGTTTTTACATAAATAATGAAATCGCCAAGTACCAAGTAAAACAGTGTTAAACACATTTAATTAATTGCAAGTGTTAACTTTGTAAAAATAACTCTATGTAAAAATAATTAGACACTATAGATTTAAGCATTATTTAGCTAATCACATAACACCTGCATCAAACTATGAGTTCTATAGTCCATTGTAGTGTTGTCACGGTACCAAAATTTCAGTATTCGGTACCAATACCAGTGAAAATCCACGGTTCTCCGTACCAATTTTGGTACCAAAGCAAAACACAAAAACATGCTAATTAAAAAATTTGACTATACTTTCTTTTAATCCAAACTGTGTACATATTTACTTTTAAAGGGCTTTTGAAAACCTTCTAGAGTTATTCAGCCAAGAATAACAACTAAGTTAACTAAAAAAAAAAAAAGCTTGACAGACATAGACTCTGTTTGCAAATTCATTCTCTGCCAGCAGGAGGCACTTGTAAAGCGGGAGAGATAGAGGTTTCCCCGGAAACGGCTGTAATCAAATAAGCGCTGCGCTCACAAACTGCTCAGGCATCTTTAAAGTGTTTTGTTAGTTTGTTGTGTTTCCTCCTTTTGATGTCGCCACGTCTCAGTGCTTTTATGAAGACCGCGTATCTGCACACCTTTCGGATAGTGCATCAAGAACCGGGTTGACCGGGTACTCGGTACACCGGTACTTAAAAAAAACCTGGTACCGTAACGTTTTCATTTTTTTAGTACCGACTTGGTACCGAAGTACCAGGTCTTTTGACAACACTAGTCCATTGTGTGTAATAGTTTTGTTTATTACTCCACTACAGTGGTTACAAGAATCTGTAGAGATAAAGGCTTTGAACACACAATAGTCTAGTCTTCAAATTGAGGGTTGTTTTCTGGTGACTGGTTTTCCTGAAGGCCAGATAGTAGAGTCAGGAGTGATACAGACATCATTTCAAAGAACAGTCTTTATTCTCAGTTATAATGTGCTGTAAAATAGTGGTTAACTTTATGGAATGCTTTAACAGCGCTCTCTTTGTGTGTGTGTGTGTGTGTGTGTGTGTGTGTGTGTGTGTGTGTGTGAGGGAAGGTGGGGTCAGTGGTGGTGCCGGTGGCTCCAGATGGGCTTTTCCCTGCCATTGGTATGCACTCCCTCGGTGAGGAGGTACGGTTGGACCTGCAGGCGGAATGGGGTTCGGAGGAGGACGACAGCGTCATGATGGTGGACAGCCATGAGGATGAATGGGCACGCCTGTATGATGTCAGAGTCAGTGGCACGGTGAGTGGGGGATGGCCATCAAAAACCAGACCAAATGAGAAACCAATGAGTTTCTTAATTATTTTTGCCTCCGCAGGTCTATGGAAAATATGATGAGTTGAGTGTCGGCATGGTGAAAGACTGTAAAGTAAACCATAATTTACACTAGGTTAATTGGAAGTCATATATTGTTAGGAATTAGTGTTGCTTACTAAGGCAAGAATCAATATTTCTGTTGCCATATTTAAGCTTAGGGATTGTAATGAACCCTGAACCATAGCGGACATGAATGATGAAGTTTCGCGGCTCATTTCTGAGCAGTTGAATGTGCAATTTTCGCCTGGTGGATGATAAAACTGGCTCAGAGATTTGCTAAACGTTACGGTTTTTGCTGTCACTTTTGATCAATTTAATGCATATTTGTTGACTAAAAGTTTTAATTACTTTTAAAAAAGAAAATCATATTGACCCTAAACTTTTGAAACGTTGTGAAGTTCTAACATTATTGCAATAAATAAGGTCTGTGTTCCCAGCATTCAAGCCTTTTAGTGTTACTTTGATGTAATTCCCGCTTAAAATATTCTGAACCATCATATCTCACAGGTTTTCCCCATTAAATCACGACAGGAATGATATAAATCCAAAAACCACACATCATTTTACTTCCTGTCAGCCATTTACCAAGTTGAAATTATCTTAATTCCTAGAAAAAAAACACCTGGAGGAACGCAGTGATAGAGGAGTCTGCCGAACCCCAATGCATGTGCAGTTGTGACTGAGTGGAGGGAATTGCTTGCAACGTTTTTTCACCCATAATTCCTCACAGTAGTGTTTAGATAAAGTTGAAAGGAACAAGCAGTCATGTGTTTGGATTGGTTGTGGAGCAGAGACCTCCCAATAGAGTGAGACTCCGGTGCAATACATGCAGATGTTCTTCTGAGAAAAGAATGTGTGCCCATCGTGCTCACCTTCCCATCTGATGCCCTGGACCTTCCTCTTTCTATTAATGCTGCACTGAGGTCATGAAAACATTCAGCATAAAGTGCCGCACTGTTGTTATGCTTCACTGGGCTGATGGCACGAACCGGGCAGCGCAGGCCAGAATTGGCACTAGACCAGCTTGTAAAAACTCAATAAGAGGACTTACGGGGTGCCAAGGAATCTTTTTGCCTTTCTAAAATGTGTTTTTCTCAGTTGTGTGCCTTCTCTGTGAGTCCTGTTGGCTTGGCGAGAGGGTGTCCTAAGACTTAAAGACTCTGCTGATAAGGGCGTGTTTTGACAAGAACCCGAAAAGTTTGGTAGATGGACCCAAGTGTGAATGCCCCATGGTTTAATTTCCACTGAGTTAATTTATTTCAGAATTAGCAATCTTGCTACAAGATGGATTTTGTGTAAAGCACTCGCTGTCAGCAGCATGCCAGTAATTAAATGATTCTTTAGTCGGTTTAATAGCTGATGTTCGTCTGGCAGCTTTTGAAGATGCTTATCTCCTCCTCTTCAGGCACAAGTTAATGTAAACCAAGACTTGGAGTTCTTTCACGGTCTGTCACAAGAGTCCATTTTGTGGCCTGTCTCTGACGGATCCAACATGCTGTCTGCGGCTTTCAGAACACCACCAGTCATTCCCTCCATTTATGGAGTAGCTCTTGTCTTTCAGCGATAGTTTGTTGGGGCACATTTCTATTCTGTGGTAAAATGACTTAGAAACGTCTGTCTTTCAGTAAGACATTGGAAAAACAAGTTTATTACTGTATTAGTATAGATATAAACATCAGGGCCCATATTCACAAAACATCTTAAGGCTAAAAGTAGCTCATAACTCGCCGATTTAGGAGAAAATCTTAAAAATAATGGGCGTGTTTTTAAGTCACAGATCGGATCATTTTTCAGATGAGCAAAAAAAAAACCATATGGTTCTTTATTATTTAAGTAACACTTATTATTTAAAGAACAATTTACTACTTCGATACTACAGCAAAAACTAGTAACATATTGGGATGTAACGATTCACTCAACTCACGATGTGATATGATTCACGATACTGATTTCACAATACAATTTTCTCACAATTTCTTTAACAAAATTAGATTTAAGACAGATTTTTAAAAAGGTGTCCTTTTGTTATTTCTAAGACCAAAAGGCTGCACATTACTTTGTGAAATTGAAAATGTCAAACAATATACTAACTTGAAATTTTGAAACAAATCCCAAATCAAATAAATAAATACAGATAAAAGAAATTTCTCCATGCAAGTAAACTAAGGTTTTGCCTGTGTATTTAAATCACGATCCAAACAAATATGCTGCATATATGTTATTTAGATTGTAAAATGTTGAAATTTGTAACAAAAACAAAATGGTCTGACTTTAGCTTTGTGATACTACATAAAAAATCTGAACGAAACAAAAACAGCAGACGGGCTGAATGAGACGCAAATGTCACTCTCTGACAGCAGGTGGCACTTAAACAGCAGGTATTTATAGGCTGCTGCCCCTTTAAGACCGAATGCACGGATCCAATATAATGATGCACGTGAGATTTCTTTCTCCACTGTTTACCTTAATTTAAAACATGAAAATACTTGCCGAGATAGTTATTTTGAGATAATTTTGAGTGTATGTGTCCATTCAAGCGAAAGAGGAATCAATTCTGTGTTCATGCTCTGCCTGAAACGCCACTCTGTATGTGCGCGCTTTGAGCGTGTGTGCGTGAGCACCGAACTGAATTTTTCATGCGCATGAATGGTTTAAAACGCTTGAATGTTTAAATTGGTAAGTCTTAGAAACACGTGTAGAGGATAAACTATGATCCGTTTCACCCCTACAAGTGAGTGAACAACGCGAATCAAGGAAGGGATTTTATATCACTATTCAAGATAGCCCGTCGGGCAGGGAAGTGATACATTTTGGTAGCCCGACTGGAAAACACGGTAGCCCCCAGACGTCGGGCTAGCGATTTTGCAAGCCCTGCTAAATCTGTGAAACTTTAGAGTAGTGAAGAGGACTCCTAAGTCACTAAGACCAAGCCACAAACTATCCTAAAATGGCTGTTGCCAGCAATCTGCCTCAGAATATAAACATTTTAGAAACGTTTGATAATGATAAGCTTTTAACAAGGTATCACCTTTGGTTTTGGAGGTTATCCCAACTCCAAATTTTCCTTTGATTATATCCTTGTTTTCATTAACCAGTTGGGCAAGAAGTAACAGCTGTTCTTGCATCCAGTTTGGTTTTCTTTTTTTACTGCATGTCTTACTATCAGCCATGATTATTCTACTCTGTTAATTAAAAGGCTGTTGCTCTTCAATATTTCTATGAATAAATCTCTGACAAACACTATCAGCCAATCACTGTGTGCATAGTTAGTAAGCATGCTGACATCATCCATAGCAATGAGGTCAACCCCGCCCTTACTCTTAGCTTAAGACTTCTCTCTATTCCTTAGTAAATGTTTGTCTCAGCAGCTTTGTGAATAGGTTTTAAGAGAAAACTCTTAGATAAAAACTTTTACTGCTATTTAGGAGAACTCTTAGTGGTAAGATCAAATGTTTTGTGAATACGGGCCAAGATCTTTAATCTGTTAAGTAATCTTTGTTTATCAAACAGGGCCATTGGGCTTTTCCGCAACTTTTATGTGACGTCACCATAGAACAGCGCAATGAATTTAATAGGGATGAACCTCAAGCGATCCAAGTCAGGTGAAAGAATAATTCACCCAACAATTAAAGTTCTGTCATAATTTAATTGCTTTGGTATGCAAAAAGGAGACATTATCAGATTTGCTTATTTAAACTTCGCGTGCCATCGTGGGTTTGACGTCAATGACACCAAACTCTATTGGTCCTTGTGCGTCTTCTAATTAATTGTGACATGGAAAGCTTGAACATGCAAAACTGGAAATAAGCAGTATAAACATTTTAAGACATCTCCTTAAAGGGTTAGTTCACCCAAAAATGAAAATTAGCCCATAAATTACTCACCCTCAAGTAGGGCTGGGCGATAAATCAATTTTATCGTTTAACTCGAATGTGTAGTTTACGTCGACTTGTTTGAATGAAAATTGGTTTTCTCTTTAACATCTGCCGACACTCCCCTCTGGGCTCCCGTGGTTCCGAATGGGCTCAGAAACTGATGCCTCATTCTATTTATGACGAACTGTACAGACACTACGTTCAGATGATTTGCAACTGTAGTGTCAACAAGTGTAGACAGACTTTTAGCGCAGTCCGGTGTGTAGACACGGTCAGACAGTGTCTGCTCTATTACAAATAATTTATATATTTTTAAAAAAATACCTAAAACAGCGGCGTTACAAGATGGAAATATAGACTAGAAAAGATATTTACACTTGCTCTATTAACGCCGAATGTGCACTTGGTTGGTTAGATACATGATGGGCTAGTATAAAAAATGCTAAAAATGCTTTCCAGCATTAAGGTAATCCTGCTTTTTTTTTTTTAAATCATCTTGTCTCAGTTACAAATTTGACTGGTAAATGATAAAGAATGATAGCCCCTTTTGCATTGCATATCAGAGATGACAGATTGATAAAAAGACATGCTATTTATGACTAGATGTAGCCTAATTTTTGATACTTTGTGGTAAAAGTGGCTCTCTGATTGACTTTGCCCTTTTTGGCTTGTTGTTTCTGTTGTTTCCAGATCAAGTCCCAGAAGGGAAAAACAAAACAAAATAAAGTTAAAACTTGTGTTGAACAATTTCTTTGTCATCTGCAGATTGATTTTAAGTAGGGGGGGAAAAATCGATTTAAATCGTAAATCGGTGATTTTTTTTTTTAGGCCATATCGCCCAGCCCTACCCTCATCCTAGGTGTATATGACTTTCTTCTTTCAGACAAATCCAGTCAGAGTTATATTAAAAATTGTCTTTGATCTTTCAAGCTGTTTAATGCCACTCAGCGGGTGTTGCATGCATCAGTCTAAAAGAAGTTTGGCCCATCCATAAAAAAAGAAGTGTCTCACACGGCTCCGGGGGGTGAACAAAGGCCTCCTGTAGCGAAT